CCTTTCCCAGGTAGCTTCCTCCACTTGGTGATTCCTCCACAAGACCTTCACCAAGTCAATCGCCCGATTCCGCAGCACCTTGGTCTCTCTTGCTACGATCTCAATGGGTACCTCCATATAGCACATGGTTTCATCTACCTGCAGTGGTTAATAATCCAAGACGTGTGAAGGGTCATGGACATACTTCGTCAGCATGGACACATGGAACACGTTATGCACTGCACTCAACGACGGTGGCAAAGCCAACCGGTAAGCGACTGGGCTAATGCGCTCCAAGATCTCAAAAGGACCAATAAATCTTGGACTGAGTTTTCCCTTCTTACCAAAACGTAGGACTCCCTTTACCGGTGCCACACGAAGAAAAACGTGGTCGCCGACGTCAAACTCCAATGCCCTTCGCCTAACATCAGCATAACTCTTCTGTCTGCTCTGAGCCGTCTGCATTCTTGCCCTAATCCTTTGGATGGCACCATTAGTCTCCTGCACCAACTCCGGTCACAACAGGACCCTCTCACCGACCTCGTCCCAATGCACCGGCGACCTACACTTCCTCCCATACAAAGCTTCGTATGGGGCCATGGCAATGGTCGCCTGATAACTGTTATTGTAGGCAAACTTTGTTAAGAACAGGTATTTGTCCCAAGAACCACCGAAGTCCAATACGCTAGCCCTCAACATATCTTCCAAAATCTGATTCAGATGCTCAGTCTGGCCATCGGTCTGGGATGGAACGCCGTACTAAAATTGAGCTGCGTCCCAAGTGCTTTATGCAAATTTCGCCAAAAAGTTGACGTGAAACGGGGGTTCCGATCTGACACGATGGACACTGGTACGCCATGGAGTCTAACTATCTATTGCAGATACAATTCCGCCCACCTTTTTACTGAAAAAGTGGCCTTGCCTGGTATGAAATGCTCAGACTTTGTTAAGCGATCCATAATCACCCAGATCATTGTGAAACCTTTAGCCGTCCTCGACAACCCCGTAATGAAGTCCATGGCTACGTCATCCCATTTCTACATAGGTATACTTAGAGGTTGCAACAACCCGGCAGGTCTCTGTCTTGAGGCTTTCACCTGTTGACACGTCAGACATCTACTAACAAACTGGGCAATTTCGCGCTTCATGTTGTGCCACCAATAGTGCTTCTTAAGATCCCTATACATTTTGGTACTCCCAGGATGCACCGAGAACGGGGTACTATGCGCCTTGGTTAATAAATCTTTCCTTAAAGAGAAGTCTCTTGGCACACACAGTCTCCCCTGATAAAGCAGAGCCGTATCTCCTAAAAGAGAAAAATCCCCTTGACCCACCATACTGAAACCCTTGCTCAGGCTGGGATCTCCCCTCTGTGCAGCGATGACCCGCTGTCTTAAAGTGGGTTCAACTGAGAGTCGAGCTAACACTGCCGAGACATCTTCCACCGCTAACTCCACCTCAGAACGATCCAACTCGTCTAGTACTGGTCTACGAGGCACTGTCGGAGGTGCCATGCTCGTTGCCCTCCTACTAAGTGCATCGGCCACCACGTTCGCCTTGCCCGGATGGTAATTGATCCCACAGTCATAGTCCTTTACCATTTTTAACCACCCCCTCTGCCTTAGGTTAAGTTCTTTCTGAGTGAAGAAATATTTCAAACTTTGGTGGTCGGTGAAAATTTGAATCCTTTCCCCATATTCGTAGTGTCTCCATATCTTCAAGGCAAACACTACCGCATCAAGCTCCAAATCATGGGTGGGGTAATTAAGCTCGTGTTCCTTTAACTGCCGCGAGGCATAGGCTATGACTTTCCCATGTTGCATCAGAACGCAACCCAAACCTCTTCGCGAAGCGTCACTATACACCACTAAACCTCCCGTCCCATCCGGTACTGTTAGCACCGGGGACGTGACCAAACGCTCCTTTAGTTCTTGAAAACTTTTCTCGTACCCATCGCTCCAAGCGAATGTGGCATTCTTACGGGTCAACTGAGTCAAGGGCGCCGCCAACCGAGAGAAATCTTGGATGAACGTTCTGTAATAGCCAGCTAGTCCGAGAAAACTGCGGATTTCGGTCACTGTGCGAGGCCTTGGCCAACCACTGACCGCCTCTACTTTGGCCGGGTCCACGACAATACCTTCCCTGGTGACTATGTGGTAAAGGAAGGCCACCTTATCCAACCAAAACTCGCATTTCGAGAACTTCGCATACAGGCTATTCCCCCTCAAGGCGGTAAGGACCTGTCACAGATGTCCTTCGTGCTGTTCTTCTGTCTTGGAGTAAATTAAAATGTCGTTGATAAACACGATCACAAACAGGTCCAAAAAATTTTTAAAAACTCGATTCATGAGATCCATGAATGCCGCAGAGGCATTAGTGAGTTCGAAAGACATTACAGTAAACTCAAAATGCCCATACCTGGTCCTGAAGGCTGTCCTTGGTATGTCGGCGTCCTTAATTCTCAACTGGTGGTACCCCGATCGTAGGTCTATCTTCGAGAAAACCCTTGCTCCTTTTAGTTGGTCAAAGAGGTCATCGATGCGAGGAAGAAGGTACCTATTCTTCGTTGTCACCTTGTTCAATTCTCAGTAATCGACGCAAAGTCGCATAGATTCGTCTTTCTTTTTCACAAAAAGCATTGGAGCACTCCAAGGAGACACGCTCGGGCTAATGAAGCCCTTAAGAGCTCTTCTAGTTGAGCCTTGAGCTCCTCAAGTTCCGCTGGAGACATGCGGTACGGTGCCTTCGAAATAGGGGCTGTCCCGGGTAATAAGTCGATGCAAAAGTCCAGTTCACGGACAGGGGGTAGCCCTAGAAGGTCTTCAGGGAACACATCTGGGAACTCTTTGACCACGTGGACGGAGTCGATATTGGGCGGAGTCACACTAATGTCGACGACACTGGCCAAATATCCCCAAGCACCATTCTGTAATAGGCGCCTTGCCTTCAACGCCGAGACTGCCCTTGGAACTCCACCCGTAACTTCTTTAAACGTAAAGCTCTGACCCGAAGGTAGTTGGAAAGAGACTTCCCTTCTCGAGCAATTAATGTTGGCTTGGTTGGTAGCTAGCCAATCCATGCCCAATATGACGTCAAAATCCCGCATGTCCAGTTGGATCAATCTTGCCTTTAGGGTCTGATTGTCAAAAGATAACTCACCTGCTCTCACCATTTGACTAGCAATCAAACTGACCCTAAAGGCATAGAAACTGACAACAAAACCCTAACGGCTCTAGTTCGAGGGTTGCCTGACGAACAAACGCAGTAGAGATGAAGGTGTGACTCGATCCCGAGTCAAACAATACATAAGCAGGCACATTATGGACTAAAACCGTACCTGGGAGATAATGCAAAGGCAAAGACATAAACCCCGCACGCAATACCCTAAATAAAAACAAAAAGAAAACCCAAAGCGAGAAAGAAGTACCTGTGACAACGGTTTTGGCATCCGCCGCTTCCTTGCGAGTAAGTGCGAAGACACGAGCCCTCTGATTACCTCCCATGCGTTGAAACTGTTGGGGGAGCCCTCTGGCCTAGCCTCTGAGTATTCGCTGTAACGACCCAGAATTTCCCCCACACTTCTAGGTCACGTTAACTACCCAACTGATTAAACTTAACCCCAAACGCATGATGCCAACTCCCTATGCAACA